GAGCAACAAATAATATGTTTTTCACTTGTGATGGATTTAGTTAGTTCAAATAGTTTTGCTCTGTTATTGAGGCTCCTGACATTGAGCATATAGATTGTGATGAGATTTTTGAGTATAATGTGAATAGAAAAGAGGTATTATTGGAGAAGTTTTGTGGTTTGTTATTCAAGAAGTAATTTGAATTAAGCAAACTAGTCATTGTTTAAAATAATGTTGATAAGAGAGTTAGCTTAGGCTCTGGTGACTCTGAGTCTATAATGAAGTTGGTGAAGAGTTTTTTGAATTGGAAGAGTTTGTTTAAAGCTTTGATGTTATTATTTAACTGAGGATTGTCAGTGAATGGGAAAAGGAGTTCTAACCCGGTGTCATGTATGGCCTGAATAGTTGTTTGTAGGTTTGGAAGATCAGATAAAAGAGAAGTAATTTACTTTCTTGGGATATTCCCAGCGTATTCCTCTTTGATTCTGGTTATGATTTCTTTAAACATAGGAGATTATCTATCTAACTGATTCTTTGTTATTCCTACTTCCTTCTTGATAGTATGGAGGTCTTCTAATATTTTGAGTCTGTCATCCTGGTTAATATTATCTTTGATCTACTCTGGACCCAGTAATAGCTTTACATAAAACTTACGTTTTAAATTATTGATGAAGTTATTAGCTTCTTCTTGGTCTGTTATTGGGAGAAGGATGACATTGTTTTCATTATACCAGTGGGGTGGAGGAAGAGGTCGTCTGATTCTGATATAGTCAAGTGGCAAGTACTTTATTGTATAGTTGTTGTCTCTTAGCAGTTTAGCTCCCTTTTTGAAGTCTTCAATACTGTTGTTGACTGGAAATTGTTTTGCCAAGTGAAGTGGGAGATCTCTGTATAATGGGAGTAGTTTTATTTTTGATGGAGGTAGTTTGAAGTAAGTTTCAGATAGTTTGCTTGGTATGTAGTAGTGTTTCCTGAGTTGATCTATCTTAAGTTTGAGATCAACCAGTTCTTGTTTGCTGGTAAGAGGAAAGATGTTATGGAATTCTGATTTAAGATCTTGGGGATAATTAGGAAGATCTGGTTTTTTAATAAAGTATGCTAGTGGAAGAATGTCAAAGTTGTAGAAGGCTCTCAAGCTGCTTGCTACTTTGTTAACTTTCTTGATTAAAAGTAAAGGGATAGCTTTAAGTAGTCTGACTTTAATTAAGAATAGAATGTCCTTAGGATTTTTTGAAAGGTCTGGCAGATTTTTTTTAATTTGCTCCTTGCAGGTGTTATAGATCTCATGATAGTCTACCTTTGGAAGGATAGGATCAATGAAAAAGTTTAGTCCATACTTCAGTAACTGGATGGCTTGCCAAAACTTAAGGAGAGGCAGATCAGTGGATTTGAGGTATGCGACAAATAATGCTTTATTGATTATTGCTCTGATCTTTTTCTTTGTAGCCCTTGAGATGTAACCTATGTTGTTTGACTTGAGGTAATTTGTGTAAAATTCCTTCTCAATCTTTTCATACTCTGTTTGATATTGTTCTTTGATTATTTTGTCTTTTGCAAAAGTTTTAAAGAAGTCGCAATCCTGGTGTTTGATTTTTGCAAATATTCCTTTAAGTAATATTTTTAATTGGCTCATGGATTTACTTCTAATTTTTAGAAAAAAGTTTATAATGAATTTGGCAGAGTGTTTACATTGGTTAAGCTCTTCACATAATCCAATTAGTTTCTCTTGTCCAGAGGGAGGTATGTTTTCTCTAATGTCTACTGTGAATTGATGGGAGCTTTCCTGGATTAATTCGAGCATCTGATTAGTTTCATCAGCCCATGAGTTTGGAGGTAATTCTATAGTCGCGATTGATTGGCTAGGGAAAGAATGGTCATCAATTTTCATACTTGTAATAGACAGTTGTACTGTGTGTACAGTTGTTTGGATATGAGTATTGTTGTTTGTGATTTTATACAGAATTGGTTGATTATCGATTGCACTTGCATGAGAGCTGGCATGATTGTTATTGTGTTCAGGGGAGTTACCTATTGTGTTTCATCTATACAATCAAGCTGCATGGTATTGTTATTGATCCTTTTCCCAGTGAGTGCAGGAGTGTTTGGAGAAGTATAGGTGTTTTGGTTTTTTGTTTCAAGGTGAAAGTTTTTGCTAGTTCGTCAATGTCAATGTTAAGTTTGTCCCAGGAGATGTATAGATCATAATAAAGTTTTTGCTTTATCATTTCCTTCAGGATACTTGTTCAGTCTTTATTTGAGAGTAAGAATCTATGTTGATAGTTAAAGAAAGTGTTTAGATTGTCCAAGAACATTGAGTCTGAAAGTGTTACTTTGACTTCAGTGTAATGATTTTTTAGTCTTTTCTTCCAGATTGGAGATAACTTTATAGGTTTCTTGATTGTTTTCCTAAACTCGAACTGGTATAAGCCATACTTTTGAAAGATTTGTAAGTTTGGAAAGTCTGGTAGTGAAGACTGGGTGGGTGTGTAAATAACATTAGTATTAACATTTTTGGGAATAATTACTGCAAGGTATTTGTTTACATCAGTAATAAGAACATCAAGAATGACATGTAAAGGTTTATTTGCTTGACCCTTGAAGAACGTGAAGAACTCTCTAGGGTCTTTAGAATTTTTATTTTGTGAAAAAATTTTTATTTTCTAATTTGGTAGTTTTTTGTGAATGCGAATAGATCAGAAAAGAGTTTTTTTTCCTGCTATATGTTTTTTCCTGCATTCACAACAAATAACTAATTGATAAAAAGAGAATCAAACTCGAGAACCTTATTTTAGACTTTAACCTTAAAAGTATCAGAGTTACCAATCACATAGTATATTTAAGCTTACAAATAACAACCTATTCATTTAGCTGTCTACAAATTTAACCACTTATTTAATCTTCTTTTAAAAAAAAATGACATTTCTAACTATATACTCAAAATTTTATACAAAGCTTGAAAATGGTGATTTGCTACAGTAATCACTTCATTATTATCTAAAATAAAGTAGAAAAGAAATATTCTGATTGTCAAACCACCAAATATTGATATAAATAACAATACAATATTTAATACAATTTTAAACTTAATAAATTTTTTATATAACTATAATGACAAATCAATTTTTACTTCAGCAGTAATTTTATTATTCTGAACAGGCATTAGCCATTCAATATTATTGTTGTGAGCCCACTTTTACAGTGGTACCTGGTTTCAATAGATTTGTTATAATAGGCTACAATTAATTTACTTTGTAAAGATTGTTAATGTAATGACAGTAAATATCTTTTATTTAAATAAAGTCTTGTATTTAATGCTTGTTTACAATAAAAAATATACATATATATATTGTTTGTTTTAAAATAGTTTTTATAAATTTTCTTTTAATTTTTTTATATTTATTAGATATTAACTCTTAATTAATTTTATTTCACAAATATTTAGAAAGTTTTTTTTTGTCTTTATATATAATTTTAAAAAGAATAGCTTTAATATTAGGTTTTAGACCATGTTTAATTTTTATTTTAATAAATTAGTTTGTAATAGCTTCATTATATTGCATTTACACTTGTTTAGTTCTTTGTATAATTTTATAATATTAACTTATTCAATTTCTAAACAAGATTTTATTATATTGTTATTAATTTTAAATAAAAAATTTAAAGCATTTTTATATTTTATATTGATTTTATTTTTCCAGAAATTTGGTTTAAGTTGATAATTTTCTCTGGTTAAATAAAGTGGAAAGTGAATTTTAAAGAAAAAATATTGATTAATAATTTTGACTATTAATTTTTATTTCTGAATCAGTGTGATGTGCAAATAGTTTATTAGAAGTTGCATTGCATGCTTCAGATATAAAAGGCTGGAATGTGGTTTTGTTGCTAGTCTGTTTTATATTACATTAAACCAGTAATGTATATGTCGTGTTTGAAAAAATAATCAGAAAGATTTGAATGGGTCTGGAAATTTTGGTTTTTTGTATTAGAATTTCTTTATTTTATAGTTATTCAGCTTGTTTTAAAATATATAAAGTTTGTAATTTAATTTTTGTATTACAGTATTATTTTTTTCATGATACTTATTCTGTCACAGATAGAGATTTTGAAGTCCAAAAGGAATCAAGGGCTTTTATTGACATTGGTTTCAGAAAAAACATGGATGTCAATTGCCGAGAACAAAAATTTGCTGAATCGGTATGATTTGAAGGAGATGGAAACGATTGTGAAAACTTCTGATTCATCTGTTGTGGAGTGAATTGGCATAAGCCATACCTGAGAGTGGTTTCCTAACAGTGATTTTTAAGGCTGAGGCAGAATTGGAGATAAATAGTTTGTTAGCTTTGATATTTTTGCAGATAATAATGACTGAGGTTGGAGATGTCAGTGATAAGGACATCCAAAAGGATGAACTCATGGTTGGTTGGATAGCCCTTGAAGGAGGAGATCCCTCAGAGTCTTTAAGTATTTCTTTACTTCTCTTGAAACTTTCAGAAGTCTGGAAAATATAGTTTAAATTGTTGGTTTTTATTTAAAAGTAGAAGTCTAGAAATTTGTCGAAAAAAGAATATAATCACGAAAGAATTATCTAAATAATTTACAAAAAGAATTCGAAGATGTTTATCAAACAAGATTCCAAAAAAAAGGTGTCTATTTTCTAGAAAATAAAATCTATGTAAATTTTACGACAAGAGGTTATTTCATAGCGTTTTTCTGCGTATATTGATATCTAAAAGTGAAGAAAAAATAACAGAAAGTATTAACGATAGCATCGATTGCATTTTAGTATTTTCCGCCGTGAGGGTAGCCGTAGCTGTAGCCGTAGTCGTAGCCATATTTATCATAGGCTTCAGCAGCGGCAGAACGTTTGCCTTTAGATCCATGTTTGTACGAATAATAAGGGTAGTAGTAGTAGTTGTAGTAGTCATCATAGGGTTCGGCGTTACGTTTTTGTCTACCAGCTGTAATCGATAATTTAAAATAAATTTAACAAGTGAACGTGGAAATAAAAAATTAAAAAGAAGCTAACCATCAGCAACGGCAGAACGTTTATGGGGATATTTATATCCGTATCCGTAAGAATAAGGATAGCTGTAGTAGCTATAGGGTTCATAGGGTTCGGCGTCACGCTTTTGATTGTCAGCTGTAATTGATGTTTAAAATTAATTTTAAGTGAACGTGAAGAATATAAAATTAAAAAGCTACCTTCAGCATCGGCAGAACGTTTTTGGGGATATTTATATCCGTATCCGTAAGAATAAGGATAGCTGTAGTAGCTATAGGGTTCATATGGTTCGGCGTCACGCTTTTGATTATCAGCTGTAATTGATGTTTAAAATTAATTTTAAGTGAATGTGAAGAATATAAAATTAAAAAGAAGCTACCTTCAGCATCGGCAGAACGTTTATGGGGATATTTATATCCGTATCCGTAAGAATAAGGATAGCTGTAGTAGCTATAGTATTCATAGGGTTCGGCGTCACGCTTTTGTCTGTCAGCTGTAATCGGTATTTAAAATTAATTTTAAGTAAACGTGAAGAATATAAATTAGAAAGAAGCTACCATCAGCATTGGCAGAACGTTTTTCTTCATGAGCTATTAAAAATTGATTTATAGTTAATAAAAATATAAAAAATATGTATTGCATATACAAATGTCCTAAATCAAAACCTTCTGCAAAGGCTAAGGCTACGAAAGCCAAGAGGGCAGCTAACACGATGAGTGATTTGTAGTTCATTATTAAGTATTAGAACTCTATTATCTTGAGATTGTGAGGTGAAGAACTTTGGAGAGCTGGTTGAGGACGTTTATATACCTTCAGCAAGTACCAAGCCTTACCCTATTTTCTGTTTAAAAAAACGACATCAGCGTTTCTAAATGACTTTTTATTAAAACAAAAAGTATCCATTCTCAATCCAAGAACGAATTCATATTCCAATTTGATGTCATTGTAATTCGAATGAAATTCCAAAGCCTTGATTTAAATCAGGCATTTACTATGGTTATTTTGCTCATTGGAATCTATCATTATCTTTTTTATGAGAGGCTATATATGGACTTGGTTATGGTAAAAGAGAGAATTTATCTTATCCGTTGTAGTTCATTGTTTATCCGATTTGGTGTATACTGTATAGCAAAGTTGTGTGCATGGAAATTTTAAATATGGTATTCTTATAGACAATAACCTGTTTTCCCAATGCATTGTTGGTCCCATTATGGTAATAAAATCGTTTATGTTATGCTACTCATTCGTGGAATTCAATTATTATACTGTACCAGTAATCAAATAACAAAAAATTTTAGATACGTACAGTACAGTATTTTTAAAATAATTAAATAATTTAAATTATTGTTTTTTTTAAATAATTTTAATCAATTTATAAAATAGCCCGTAATATACTGCACATATTTTATTGAATTTACAAATTTTTTTTAATTGTACGTACCGCATATATATATGATTATGAAAATGACATACTGTATTCTTCAATAATATTTATAAATGACGTGCATTAATCGAAGCATTGTTTTCTTTAATTATAATATACGCAAATATTTTCAGTTATATGATAAATATTTATAATTTATTTTACTTATTGCTGGGGGCTTACCATATTATCTACAACTTGCTCACAGATTCACTAAAATATACAACCGGGATAGCGGTAGGACCCAATTTCATGCTTCTCTTCCACACAATCACGTCTATAGACTAATTTTCCCGATCCAATTCTAACTTACGATTTACAGTACCTTGTCCTTCTCCAACTTTAACATTCTTTATCAGATCTTCGATTTCATATTCTAAGTTTATTATATTCAACCAAGAATTTTTGCAGTAAATCTTCAAGTTTTTTATTACTGGTCAATCTTTCGATAAGAAAAATGCTGTCAACTCTTCAACTTTCATTTTCAGACCTTGTTCGATAAAAAAGGTATAAAGATCGTTGATTTCAATTTGAATGAATTTTTTTTGTTTGAGCAGATTATTGTGATCACATGAACAGATAATTTCCTTTGAACTGGCGATGACGGGCAAATTAAAGTTTTATAGAATTTTAAAAGGTTAGGTTTGGTGATTTTGCGTATTTCGAAAACTTCATCTTCAACCGAGAGTAGTAATAGTAAGAGAATTAACCTACTAATAATAAGAAATGAGTATTCAGAAAGATTTTTTTTTTTTTTTACCTCGGTCAAAATCATAATATTCCGAATTTACATGTCCCCGATATCTGCGTGCTTCTTGAGCTAAATTTTTTGGCTTTTCTAACTTTTTAGTTATCGTATTATATGACAACACAATCACTTTTCAATACCCATAATTTGTACAAAAAATGTATAATTCTGTTCTCTAAATGAACAGTATCACTCACTTTGTATAATGATCTTTAGTTAAAAAAAAATCACAACCGAATAATTTATAAATACAGATACAAGTGTCATAAGATTCATTGTTGCAATAACAGCATTCTTCATACCCAATGATCTATAATATGACCTGTATTCAGGATACCAAGTATCCTATATCAATTGGTCAGTGCTTATTCATAGAAAAAGTCAAATATGGCTCAATACATAAAATCAATACCCAGCCGCTCTTTTGTCCAGAGTTGATTAAAACACAGTTCACTAGAGACTTGTACCATCAAGTTGAACTTGGTCACATCAGTATATTTCTTTGGTTTTCTTAAGGTTCTTGTAATGAAAATAAAAGAAATATGAAGAACTTTTGGGTATTAAAAGACAAAGAAAAAAATGTCTGTTCTTTAATTTTGTAAGAAAATTATTATAAAAGAAAATTTTTTAAAAAATTATATAAAGAAAAGAGTTTTTTTAAATTATATTTTTAATAATAAAGGAGTATTTATATATAATAATTAAATAATTATGTTTATAAATAATAAGTTGCTTAAACATTTAAGACTGATTTCAATTATTTCAATATTATTAATATCATTAGTTATATATACTCTATATGAGTAATTATTTTTGAAGGTGGACCAGAAATTTTCTGGTGTGATCCTAAAATTTATATTATATATGTATTGTTTAAAAGTTGAGTCCAAAAAAATCATATCTAGCATTTTGTCATCTTCAATAATAATTACCCATATATATACTGCATATAAATTAAATATTAAGAAGTCTTTTTTTATCTTATTTTGAAATTCAAATAAATAGTTTTTTAAAATATACTGTATATATTATATTAGATAATAAACAAATATATTATGTATGTGATATTTATATGTCCTATACAGCATGGTGCAAAATGTTTTTGAAATAATTTTGATTTTTAATTTTATTTATAAATCAACAATTAATTAGTAAAATATAAT